GTGTGGGGGGTGCAGGGGGGGGTTCGGGGGTGTGTGTGTGTGGGTGAGGGGGTGTGGGGGATGGAACCCAGGGCCTTGTGCATGCTAAGCATATGCTCTACCAGTGAGCGACACCCCCAGGCCCTATAATTTTTATACTACATTATTTTATTTTGTGTGTCTGAATATTTGCATATGTATGCATGTATGCATACACAGGTCAGAGGTCAACCTTGGTGCCATCCCTCAAGTGCTCTCCACTGTGTTTCTTGAGACAGTTTCTCTTTGGCTTTGTGTTCAGCAAGCAGTCCAGGCTGGCCAGAGCCCCAGAGACCTTCTTGTCTCTGCCTCCAGCACAGGGATTATAGGAACACGCCACCACAGGTGAGTTGTGGAGGTTGAATTGAGGTCTGCATACTTGCTGGGCAAGCATCTTACTGAGCTATGTCTTCCCCAGCCCTAGTTTGTGATATGACTGAATTGTTGCCTTTATTAATTAGGTTTATTTCTGGAAAACCTGATGCTTTTCATTTTTAGTGTTGTTGGGATCATTTTTTTTTTCTATTGCATTTTAAATTGTTTCTGGGGGTTATGAAAACAATGAAGGAATGAAGTAAATTTATGAATATCATGGGATACATCTATTTTTATTTTATGTTTATTGGTGTTTTGCCATGGGTGTCAGATCCCCTGGAACTGGAGTGACAGACAGTTGTGAGCTGCCATGTGGGTGCTGGGATTTGAATCAGGGTCCTCTGAAAGAACAGTCAGTGCTCTTGACCACTGAGCCACCTCTCCAGCTCCCATGGGTTACATCTAAAGTGAAATATAAAAGGAGGCATCATTTATGTAATTATTATGAATAATTCATTATGAATGAATACACAAATATTGTATGTTGTATATTCATATATATTTTGTTTGTTTGAGACAGGGTCTCTCTGTGTAGCCCTGGCTGTCCTGGAACTCACTCTGTAGACCAGGCTGGCCTTGAACTCAGAGATCCACCTGCCTCTGCCTCCTGAGTGCTGGGACTAAAGACGTGTGCCACCACATCCTACCTGTGTATAGTTTATGGATACATAAAATGAAAGAGAAGCCAGTCATAGTGGCTGGCACACGCCTGTCATCCCAGCACTTGGGAAACGGGGCAGGTGGATCTCGGGAGTTTGAGGTCAGCCCGGTCTACAAAAGCCAGGGCTACATAGTGAGACTATTTAAAAAATATAATTAGCTAGTCAATTAATTATTAAAATTAGGGGAGGGAGAAAGAGAGACAGGGATTGAGGTGGGGAGAGAGGGAGAGAGGAGCCAGGCAAGGTGGCACGTGGTACTGAATGGCAGTGCCAGCACCGGGAGGCTGAGGCAGGAGGCCAGCCTGAGCTGCGGACCAAGTTCTAAACCACCTGGTGGGAGCCTGTGTAAAGGAAACAGGGTCTAGGGAGAACATGGCTTGGAGGTGGAGCACTTGTGTCCCATTAACGCCCCGACATTGAGCCCCAGGGAGAGGGGGGAGGGGCTTGGAGTCTTCAGTGTGTGAATACCGTCCTCAGCATCTCTCATACACCTCTCTGGCCAGGTCCTTCGGCTGCCCTCGATGGATTACACCCTGGAGCCCAATGTCACGGTGACTGACTACTACCCTGATGTCTTCACCATCCCCTGTGACACAGAGCTGGCCCTCAGAGGCGGGAGGCTGCACCTTGCCGTCTTCTACTGCATCCTGTTTGTGCTGGGCCTCCTGGGAAACAGCCTGGTCATCCTGGTCCTGGTGGCCTGCAAGAAGCTGAGGAGTATCACAGACATCTACCTCCTGAACCTGGCTGTTTCTGACCTGCTTTTTGTCTTCTCCGTCCCCTTCCAGACTCACTACCTGCTGGACCAGTGGGTGTTTGGGACGGCCATGTGCAAAGTGGTCTCTGGCTTTTATTACATCGGCTTTTTCAGCAGTATGTTCTTCATCACGCTCATGAGCGTGGACAGGTACCTGGCTGTCGTCCACGCTGTCTATGCCATCAAAGTGAGGACGGCCAGAGTGGGCACGGCCCTGAGCCTGGCCGTGTGGCTGACTGCCGTTGCAGCCACCCTTCCGTTGCTGGTGTTCTACCAGGTGGCCTCTGACGACGGCGTGCTACAATGCTTCCCGTTTTATGACAACCAGTCTCTGAGGTGGAAACTCTCCGTTCACTTCGAAGTCAACATCCTGGGCCTGCTCCTGCCCTTTGCCATCCTTCTGTTCTGCTACGTCAGAATCCTGCACCAGCTGCGGGGCTGCCAGAACCACAACCGGACCAGGGCCGTCAAGCTGGTGCTCATCGTGGTCATGGCATCCTTGCTCTTCTGGGTCCCGTTCAACGTGGTGCTCTTCCTCACGTCCCTGCATGACCTTCACGTCTTGGACGGATGCGCCACGAGCCAGAGGCTGGCCCTGGCCACCCACGTCACAGAAGTCATTTCTTTCACACACTGCTGTGTGAATCCCGTCATCTATGCGTTCATAGGGGAGAAGTTCAAAAAAAACCTGGCAGGCGTGTTTCAAAAAAGCTGTAGCCACATCTTCCTCTACGTAGGGAGGCAAGTGCCGCTGGGGGCGTGGGAGAGGCAGCCGTCCTCCAATCAGCGGTCTTCCCAGTCCTCTACCCTGGACTACATCTTGTAGGGGGGTGTGCACGGGCTCTGCTCCCTGGAGAAACGTAACCTCGTCGTTTTGGGATTTCCTTGTGCCTGTGTTCACGAGAGACAATGTTTTGTAATTTTTTCTCACCTGTGATGATCTGGCCAGGCTTGCTTTCTTAAAATGTATTGAGAAATATTCCCTTTAAAAATCTATTTTCTGAAACGGTTTGTGTAAATAAAAAGGCATTACTTTTTCTCTTTGAAGGCTTGATACAGTTTATCAATAAACCCATCCAGGGCACTTCTGTACAAAGATTTGCATTTAATTTACCAGCACCACTTGCTGTCCACCGACTGGCGGTTTCAGCAGCTGCCTACGTTGCAAAGGATTGGAGTTCATTTCCCTCAGTGTGTATCTGTGTGCCCACGTGCCATGCCATTCATTCCTGGAGTGCCAGAAAGCTACGTTCAGCCACCCCTCCCAAACACGCCGATTAAACGAGACAAGTCATGGAGCTGGAGAGATGGTTCATTGGCTAAGAGCGACGACTGCTCTTGCCACAGGGCCTGAGTTGGCCCCCAGTACCCATGTCTGGCAGGTTGGTGTGGCAGTTCATAACTGCCTGTAACTCCAGCTCTAGGGTCACCCAATGCCTGAGCACAGACCCCACCCACCCCATACACATAGCTTCTTAAAAACTGAGAAAAGTCACAGTGAAATGCCCAGGTTTACTCAATGTGGCCACATTGGGAAAAGGAGCAAATAAAGAGGTCCAGTGACCCCCAAGTCCATCTTCAGGGTCTGACCTGAGGCCTGGGTTTAAACAGATGCCACTCGGTGTGCAGAGCTAAGGAGTCCTGGTCAGGGTGTGGTCCTGCCCATCATCACTGTTCTGGGCTCCGTCTCTCCTGCAAGGTGGTCTGGCAGGGTCTGACCTGAGGCCTGGGTTTAAACAGATGCCACTCGGTGTGCAGAGCTAAGGAGTCCTGGTCAGGGTGTGGTCCTGCCCATCATCACTGTTCTGGGCTCCGTCTCTCCTGAAAGGTGGTCTGGCAAGTTGCAAAACTGTGTGCCATCTCTTGATAGAGGCAAGTTCAAGTCTCTCCTCTGGCTAGTTTTGACTTTAGCCTTTCCCTTCCACAACGTGGGATCCCTGGGGAAGCTTCAACCCTTCAGAGTCTATTGTCTCATAGGCAATGGGCGGGGCATAAGTGCTCTCCCACTAGAGTGGTTCCAATACGTCAAGCACATGTCTGTCGGGCTGGAGAAGTGGCTCAAAGGTTAAGAGCACTGGCTGCTTTTCCAGAGGTCTGAGTTCAAGTCCCAGCAACCACTTGGTGACTCACTGCCACCTGTAATGAGATCTGGTGCCCTCTTCTGGTGCAAAGGCATACATGCAGGCGTTCTGTCAAGGGAAGGCTGAAGAGCTGTCCTAGAGACTCAAGGGATGGCTCATGGGAACATGTGACCTAAGAAATGCATGGAGGATGCTTTGGGGACTGGTAACTTACCTTTGGACTATGGAATTGCGCACTTATGGGCAAGCGAAGCAGGGCAAACATGCCCAGCAGTGCCTGGGACACAGCTGGCATCACCCGCCTGCCTGTTGGATATGAGCCCCATCTGTTTCGTTCATTGCCACATCCCAGAGCCCAGGGTTTGTTTGTCTGCTAGGTGAGCTGGGGCTGGAGACCTGGCTCAGCAGGTAAGAGTGCTTACCAGTCTTGCAGAGGACCCAGGTTCGATTCCCAACACTCACCTGTCAGCTCACAATCTCCTGTAACTCCAGCTACAGGGAATTCAATACATGTGATGCACATAAACTCACGGAGAAATAATACAACTTAAAAAAAAGAACTAGAGGTATTCCGCACCAAAGGGCCCCGATGTGGGGTCAGAGGACACCGAAATGGATTGTTGGGACTAAGGAGTTTATTAGGAGAGTTATTAATGCCATGGACAGACAGATAGACAGAGTGGGGGCTCCCCGGAGAGTTCAGGCCCCAGAACGAGAGACCGACATCATGGCCGTGACTCTCAAGGAAGGAATCTGGGCCTACATAGTGGAAGTGGGAGGCTCTTAAACCTTTCTGAGGATGGGGGGGCTGTGTTTGTGGGGGCTGCAATCAGAGCCAGCTAAGCAGCCCCAGGTTTGTACCTGAGTGGGGGAGTGTGGATGAGGGAAAGGCTAGCTTAAAAAGGGGTTAAGAACTGAGGTGCAGGCTAGCTGTTGGCAGGGCAGATTCAATCCATACTGAATGCTCCCTTAGTTTATTCTTATACCATCTTCTGTATTCAACCAACAGTGAGGACAAACGGCAGAAGACTTCTATTATCATGTATAAGGGGCAAAGAGATTTACTTCCCTTAATCCTCCAGGTATTTGGTAGCCACACCTGCCATAGGCCTTCCAGAGTAAACACACCTGGGCCCAAGTCTATTGTTATTAGATAAGAGACATCACTGCCAGGGCCGAAATATCCTGTAGCCACCAAACTAATGTCTTATGGACAATAAGACAGATTTAAGCTCTCTGAACTGTGGCATGATGGAATGGACTCCTTTTCATGGGTCCTGACAGGATGGATGGGGGTGGGGAGTTGGCAGCTTTCTATTGTTATGATGAAAACCATGACCAAAAAGCAAGTCTGTGAGGAAAGAATTTATGTGACTTACACTTCCACATCACTGTTCATCACTGAAGGAAGTCAGGACAGGAACTCAAGCAGGGCAGGAACCTGGAGGCAGGAGCTGGTGCAGAGGTCTTGGAGGGAGCTGCTGACTGGCTTTCTCCCCACGGCTTGCTCAGTCTGCTTTCTTACAAAGCCCAGGAATAGCACCACCCACAATGGGCTGGGCCCTTCCCATCAGCCACTAATTAAGAAAATGCCCCCTACAGCTGGATGTTATGGAGACATTTTCCCAGTTATGGTTCCCTCCTTTCAGACGACTCTAGGTTGTTTGGAGTAGACAAAAAAAAAAAAAAAAAAAAAAAGCCAGGACAACAGCACAAGCCTTTATCCAGGCTTTCTGGTTTCCAGGTAGGATGCCGCAAAGGGGTTTGGGAGCCGGATGTGTGGCCACCAATATACCTTTAATGTAAACTCACTTCCCCAGATGAGATATCCTGACACATGGAAGTCTGTTAGTTAGAGACTCACAGACAGGGTCTCGGTGGAATCCTGTGTTACCCGTGAGGGGAAAGGGCTTCTGCAGAGGCTGGGCCTGAGTAGCAGCTGGGTTCCGACACGGCATATTTATAAGTGAGGATTTTACTCTCTCAATGGACAGGCACTGATGCTCTGTGTGTGTTTTTTCAACAAGGGCCTGAAGATCTCTTCTCCAGGTCAGCCACGTAGACACATATTGTTAGACCCCGGAAAACTCAAGTATCCGGGGTCCCAGGCCACGTTCGCGGTCACCCCAATGACCAGGCGGATTCGAGAGCTTGCTGCAAACTGCACGAGGCTTTATTATAATTTAACGAGCTAACCCCATGTTAGCTCGGGTCTTTGATCCACCCACCATGGCGGACGGCTAGAAAAGACGGCTCCTAGGGGCTCCCAAAAGATCTTATAGGGCAGCGTAAGGGGAGTGTCTAGGGGTACGCACAGGCTCAGGATTGGTGTGCCTCCAGGCTTGGAGGGCTTGCCCTGTGTTGGTCAACTGGTTGTTATGGCCCATAGGCCCTCCCAGGGTGGTTGCTATGCTCTCTACGTCATTGCTGTGC